TTCAAACTAAAAAGATGACTATAATCCTGACCTTAGCTACTGTTTTATGAAATAAAAATATATTTGTTGAAATATTAACTATGCTAAATACACTTAATGATCTAACCTCCGGCCAAATAAATCATAAAGACATTTGGTTGGTTGCTTAATTATAATTTCCGTTCAAGCGCTAAATTGTGTCAAAATTTTACAAAATCTGTTTAGTTAAATACGTTTAAAAAAATTAAAACTTTTATGGCGAATATTTAAAGGGGGAAAAAATTCCCCCAAGTTCACAGACTTTTGCAAGTTAGAAAGTGTTTCTTGGATGAAACTAGACTTAATGACGTTTATATATTACACATTTTGTCTATTTATCTTAAAAATCTAAACGCAACATTCACACGTTGATTATTTATTATAAGTGACCTGATCTAAACTGAAACTGAAATTTATAACTATTAAATATTCATAAGAGATTGTGAAAAAGTCACAGTAGTAAGCAACAGTAAACGGTTTATGAAATGGACTATTGTTCAATAACTTTAAATAATATAAATTTTCTAGCAAACTTGGGTGGAATATAATTTTATAGTTTAATTTGGAAAGGATATTACTGCCTTCTCTTAATTTTCGGGTGTTTCAGCTTAAAATAAAAGGGATAATGTTCTAAGACAAAGTAATCTAGTTTTAAAGATTCTGTTAAGATATTGGTTCTCAAATATCGAATTTCTTTAATAGAACTTTCAGAGGTTAAAAGTTTTGGATAATGAAAGATTTAGCTTTATGTATTCGTGGTGTTAAAGTTAAATTCAAGCACACTTGGATCTAAATGTGTACCCATAGTATTGACACACAATTTTTCGCTCATCGCTCATAGGAACACTTCCTTTTGGAACGCCAAATTGACGTTAGTACTTGCAGTTCCCCAAATATAAGTTGACTTAATAGACAAGGCTAACTTCGTCTGATGGTTAATTAGATTTTCTTATCTGTCTAGGTAAACGGTTAACTTGATCATTTGATTGATTGCTTGATTAATTCCTCCTAATCAGATGTCACATAAGAAATCCAAATTTGAAGTACCCATAGTCAGGAGCAATCATGTTGCTAAAGTCCAGGCAACTCAGTTTTAAGAGATACGCTGAACAATCTTAATCTAATTGCCAAGTGTATTCTCGTGCCCATAAAGTGTTACTCTCGAATGCCTCGCCATACTCCCCCCAGGATCATGTTACCTTGGTTGACCGCGTTCAACTTGGTGTTATAGCAAACCCAATGTATAAAGTAGCTTTAGACCGAAGGGACTATAAACAATTGGATTAATTTCAAACAAGCTCTGTCCTGAGAACCTAACCTGCTATTCTGGACAACCAAGCGAATGGGTCGGATGACTTTCTCTATGAATGCGTCGGATGAAAGACTTGCTAGATGATTTGAATGGTGATGGATGTAAGGTATCCTATTCATGTGTTATCGACAAAGTTCCTCTATTTGCCTGGGTCTGTTTCGGGATTTACACTATTAATACCTAACCTACCACATTGTGTCCACTGTATCTAGAAAGTAAGTCTTGGGTTATTGATGAGATTGTACTTTCATTTACATAGGAGCTGTTGCTGAAAAAACAGAGTCGTTCAAAGCAGTCTGGTTAAGACTGTTGTTGACGAAGGCTTAAGATATGATCTGTAGACTGCCGGGCATTCCATAACGGAAATCCGGAAACTTCAAAGATTAGATAGCTCGAGCTTATGCCAACATGGCAGGCGCTCACGCCAAACAATTCGGGAGTCTGTATCGCAATCATGCAATGTCTAACATATGGTCTGAAGACTGCCGGACATTTCACAATGGAAATCCGAAAACTTCACAGATTAGATAGCACAAGCTTATGCCAACATGGGAGGCGCTCACGCCAAACACTTCATATCTCATTCGGAATTGTGAAATTTAATCAAATTCCAAATACCGGAAAAGTCACCACCACTTGTGCAGACAAATCGGTAGCTTGGAGAGAAACTGCCATCTGATTTTATATTATTAAAGATCAGAAAACTGAAGTTTTAAGGTCGTCCTTCTATTGTCGGACATTCCTGAATCATATTCGTAAAACTCAAGTTTCCGTGAAAGTCGATATTTGGAGTAGTTTTTATGCCTTCAGTAATAATATGACCATGAGCCAATTGCTTTCAATTGGAACGCTGTGTTAATTGGTTTCCGGTAAAGAGTTAAATTCCTTCATATCTTGGATTAGTAGTATTCGCAATTGCGTTAGCTCTACATAACATGCTATATCTTCTAGAGATGCCAAGTATTTTAAACCGCAGCATTTAGAGACAATCTAAAGTCTAGATTGATTAGGATTTTCAGTGTGAGAAAATTGATTATGGATCAGGAGCTTATGTAAATTTTTCCAAAAATTAAAAGTGTTCTTTTAAATAAGACTCCACTGTATTTAACTTAACTAAAAGCCACGAAAAGGGTTACAAATTAAATAATTTATTAACTAATCCATACTATAATTATTGACAAAAACACACATTTATTTGTTTTTGTTTAGCTCCGCAGCTGTTTGTCTTAATAGCTCTGCAGAGAAATTAATTAACATGAAATACAATATAACTAATATGTACATTTATTTATAATTTTTTTAAATATATTAAAAAAGTATTTATATTAATAAATTCAAATAATTTATGACAGTAATAAAATTCAAAAAAATTATCAATATTCAAATATATGATATATTTGACATTAAACTCAATAAGATTTCTTAAAATACTGGGTGTGAAATAACATGACATCTTGTGACAACTTTATAAGTCTAAAAGAAGATATAGGCCTATAATTAAAACTGAATTGGTTTTGAATTGGGTGCATATTTTAAAACATTTTGTTAAAAGGTAATATTTAGTTTAACAAATCAAATATGTTAATTTATTAAATTTTATTTGTTTTATTACAGTTTTGGATTTTTTTGCTCATTTTATCTGCTGTATTGACATTATTAATAGTTACAAGGCTACTTTAATACTACAATTCGACAAATGTCATTATTATGTTTTATAATAATATTTAATTTATTGATTAATGTTAATAAATGCATACGTACAAACTCTTTTGTTTATTAACGTTTTTGCCAAAAAAAAGCTAAATTATGGGTTTAGTCGTTTTGTTTGCTTTTCTTAAAATTTAATCGAGTTTTTAAAAATGTTTATAGTTTTTATTAGTTGCATTTTTTTATTAACATAAACTTTATTTCTTTTTTTTTCGTAAAAATCTTGCAAATTTAAATCAAAAAACGTCACTTGTTTATTAATTAATTGTTAATTAATAGTTGCCAATATGTTAATCCAAACATATACAGTGAAACTCAATAGAACAAAATATCAAACATTTTCGAAACTTGATTTTACTAGTGTATAGACTAGACTATAGACTAGACTATAGACTAGACTATAGACTAGACTATAGACTAGACTATAGACTAGACTATAGACTAGACTATAGACTAGACTATAGACTAGACTATAGACTAGACTATAGACTAGACTATAGACTAGACTATAGACTAGACTATAGACTAGACTATAGACTAGACTATAGACTAGACTATAGACTAGATTATAGACTAGACTATAGACTAGACTATAGACTAGACTATAAACTAGACTATAAACTAGACTATAGACTAGACTATAAACTAGACTATAAATTATACTATAGACTAGACTATAGACTAGACTATAGACTAGACTATAGACTAGACTATAGACTAGACTATAGACTAGACTATAGACTAGACTATAGACTAGACTATAGACTAGACTATAGACTAGACTATAGACTAGACTATAGACTAGACTATAGACTAGACTATAGACTAGACTATACACTAGACTATAGACTAGACTATAGACTAGACTATAGACTAGACTATAGACTAGACTATAGACTAGACTAGACTATAGACTAGACTATAGACTAGACTAGACTATAGACTAGACTAGACTAGACTATAGACTATACTATAGACTAGACTATAGACTAGACTATAGACTAGACTAGACTATAGACTAGACTATAGACTAGACTATAGACTAGACTATAGACTAGACTATAGACTAGACTATAGACTAGACTACAGACTAGACTATAGACTAGACTATAGACTAGACTATAGACTAGACTATAGACTAGACTATAGACTAGACTATAGACTAGACTATAGACTAGACTATAGACTAGACTATAGACTAGACTATAGACTAGACTATAGACTAGACTATAGACTAGACTATAGAATAGGCTATAGATTATTATTGCCAAAAGGTTTCTCGCTCATATCATCTTAAGATTTAGATAGTTTGCAATCTGATTAACAAGTTTACAATCAGCTAACAAGTCTTAAACCTATTCAATTCAGTTTTTAACCACTACACGCCTTCAATTTATTTAGCCATTATTTAAAACAATGGATATATTTCTTTCATAGATGAGTTGTTGAAAAATCTATTGTTATATTATTCATCTTTTATTGACTTCGTCCATCAACTAAACATCTAACTGATTTGATTAATTAAAGTATTTGACATTTACATAAATACAATATGTTAAACACGAACTATGTTTATTTTTTCTTTGTCACTTGACCACTGTGCAAATAATTCAAGTAAATTCATATGCAAATGCATTAAATACTATTATTGTTTTTCGAATAAATATGTATTTATGCAGCTTATTTTTTTTTTATAAAAAAAAAAAATATATGTATATATAAAGATTTTTTGGAATCCCTGAAGAAATTTAATCTTGTTATTTGTATGTATATGGGTCATTAGATTAACAAAAAAAAAGAGTAATAAAAACAAAGTTGACATATTTGGTATTATAATCGTAAAATGCGGAATTATATATTTAACCAGCCTAAATATTGACATTCTATTTGAATAAGTTCAATAACTTAGACTTAGTTTTGCGAAGGTGTGTTAACAGCGTTTTTATTTAAATTTGATTTTTAGTAATAATGGGGAGAATTTCAATTATTTGAGAATTAAAGATCTAATTTATGCTAATCATGTACAGGTAAAAGTATTTTCTTAGAATAATTGGAAAATCGAAATGATTTATTAGTGAATGTCACCAATTAGTCCATTAACTGTTTTATTTATTATATATTTGCAAATGTTTTATCGGTATTTATCCAATCGAAAGTTTAGATTATCAATTACATTTTACAGTTGTATATCTTTGTATAAGGACAAAAATGCAACAACATCCTGAAATTGGCTTGCTATTACACAATATTCCCTCTTTTCGTACGATGTGCACAGACTTAGAATGACGCTATTGTGATCGAAAGTATGCAACTGCTGAAAACGTCACTTTGGTTAACGGTAAATGCAACAGACAGAGATATAAACAACAGGATTACGCACCCGTCCAATAATTTTCTTAATAGTGTCGATTGGACTACTCCTTACATGTAATTGCTTCATCATATTCTTCTATAATTCAATGTAATTTATTCAATCATTTTGAATTCTTATTCACATTTAAGATCAGCCGAATTGTTTTTATCTTCGTTCAAGATCAAGAGAAGAACTTCTGTTTTCCTTCCAACTAACCGGTCTTTGCAGGAGTAGCAATTCTCTAACTTAAGCAACCAAAACTTATTACACGTTTCTCTCCCCAAGATGAACATTTTTAAAATTTTCCGGCAATATTACTCAGAGGGAAAAAGAAATATACACGCCTGGTACCAAATTGACAACAAATGTTCAATAACATCGACAACACTATGTAATGTTGACAACGCAACGTTTTCAAATCTAAATTTTATACACATCCGTTGTCTAAAAGTTAACAAACGTGGTAAGCTCACTATTGACAACGGATTTGCTAGTCAGAAATTTGTTACTCAGAGAGATCTTACTCTTATTACGAAATCCTTCACACAGACGGAACAAAATCAAATGAAAGAGTAGACTGTGGAATCTATTCGAACTAGTTAAATAATTGCCAATTCAGGCCAAAGCAGTGACCAGTAAAGTAACCACATGTTATTAGAAGGAAATATCTTTTAACTTACTGATAGATGACAATGTGTTCTCCACTGAGATAGCAAGATATTCGACGGTTATCATCTCGCGGGTTACTGGACATGGGGATTCTTTAAATATTAGCAAGTTAACTATGACAATGTTCCGGCGAGAAAATCCTTCGAATATTTCCCAGAGGGAAAACGCAGAAGAGGACGGCCAACTCTCCGATGGAAAGATCAAGTAAAGGAGCATCTATCCGAACTTGGTGTGCGAAATTGGAGAAGAAGTTCTGAAAATCGAATCACATGGAAATCTATTTTACGTATGTCATAAGATCCAAATGGATTGTAATATAAATATTATAAATGTAAAAAAATTTTAATATTTGCCAATAAAGAAGAAGAAGAAGTTAACTATGAAATTTATAGCCGAGAAGCTCCTATACAAAGACCAAAGAGATTTGCCCATAATGGATAGAAACCTAAATGATTCCCTGTCAGAAACCTCATAGTGGTTATAACTGGTCATTGGTCAATGGTTTCTTTAAATACGAAGAAGACGAACATCTTCTTTGTTATTGTCCTGCTTCTTTTCATGAATTAAGACAGAAAAGTTTGGTCATCGAACACTCTTGAACAATACCTGTCTGTGAAAAAGGGATTTGGGTAACATCTAGGCATTTATTATAGCAACGAACTTAACTTAGCTACAAAAATAACCTCCATTTATTGATAAATATCGTTGCCCAGCCCAAAGATCCATTAATTTCGGATTATTTTGGGATATTAATATCGAATGTCTTCATATCATGATTTAATATGGACTCCATATTAACTCAAAAAAGTGACATCTGAATTTTTAAAGACAGTAAATGCAATTGAGAATATATTTAAATCTTATTGCGTGGGAGTTAAGAGCCTTGATAGACCGTCACATACATATGATAAACGTCTTGAACTCGGTTTCTTCTCGCGTCCAAATCGTTGGCCAATATGTTGTAAATGACGAATGAACACTAATTACACAATTTAAGTATTTTCTAATAAACTACCATTTTTACAGAAGTCTTTAAAAGTTTGGTAGAACAAACAAGCTCGCGTAGGCCCTTGAAAATATATCTTTCAATCAACACAAATTCGAATCATTGTCTCAGATCTCAATAACATTTCTTTAATTGAGGCCTCTATTAAAAACCATCATAATAAACTTCTTCAAAATGATTTATAGTAATTTTTTTATAACACAATTAAGTAGGAAAGAAAAACTTCAAAACAATGCGCTCATCAACTTAATTGCAGGCCTACTACGGAATCACCACATTATCTTACATTTATGTTTCACATATTCAGGTAAATAGATTTAAAATACACGTTAAAATTTTAAATAAATATAAAAACATATACATATTTATGTGTTTTCATACATATTATGTATAAAAAGGTATTTGCATAAGATAAAAATTATTTACCAAATTTCAATAATTAATCTTACAAATTAAATACAAAAGTGGAGAGGCAAGAAACTCATTAATATTGTACAAATAATGAACAATATGTTGGCAAGCTATATACATAGTTGCTGCAACATAAAAGTAATATGTTATCAACATGGTTATTTGTTTAAAAATTTTTAAAGATTTATTGGATTTTAAGTTTGTCTTTGTTTTAGTTTTTTATTTCGCATATATGAATAAAAGGCTTATAAAGAGGTGTTAATTTGATTTGGAGGTGAACTAAAACAGCTGATCAAAATCTTTCTTTTGTTGCTTTTATGGACGAAAGTAAATTGCTGTTTGAGATAAATTTTATGTTTTATTAGAAACAATAGACAACATATAAAACCAAAGACTTTAAGAGGGCGCCTGAGAGTGCAACGCCTGCGCGTGTTACCGCACTAGACCCTGAGAGTTTTGTTTGTTGTTTAAGTTTCGATCGATTTACACGAATATTTGCTATCTTCAGCTTTTGCACTAATTTAGGTCTTTTTGCTGGCAGAGCAGCACGCGTATCAAGTAAAGTTGATCATAATGACGATGATAATGGCATGCGTTAGAGAGACCCTCACGTTTTCTAGTCTGCAGACTATTGTATTCATTCATTTAACTAACCATTCAAGAAATTGAATGGTAAAAATACATCACACACACTTATTCACACGCACAGAAAATGGCCAGAAGACAGTATTAAACCTTTTTGACCAAAAATGAAGATGATGGCTTATAAATTGTCATGAACACCAGAGAGGGATCATCAGTATAAACTCAACGTTTGTAAGCTGTACAACCGAAAAAGTAACCGTGCTTAAGCAAATTTAAAACAAAATGGTCAGTTATTAAACGATAATATAAAAATAATAAACAAAAAATAGTTATTAAAAACTATACTATAAAAACAATTAAAAAAACTATACTTTAACAAAAGATACTTATAAAATATTTAAGTTTAATAGAAAAGTGCCTAAAAATATAAATATTTGGTGAAGCTTTTAAATGAATGGATTACAAATATATCACCTTGAAATTCGACAACAGTGTTATTGATATTGTGTTTTTTTCTTTTTATTTCTTAGAAAACTTTCTTTGTTATTACGATGGCTGCTTTGGCCACATTAGCCTGTGCTGATGTCAGCCATTTAGGCAGTTATAATTATCCTGCTCCTGCTTCTACCGAAGTTGCCGCCTATACACCTAAACAGTCATCGGCAGGTCAGAGCTATAGTCAACAGAGTTATAGTCAATCGCAATCTCATGCTCAAATTGAATCGATCAAAGCTTCCGTGCCAGTAGCTAGCTTTTCTATACAACAAACTCAGGGGCAAGAACAAAGCTTTGGTTCACAAAGCCATTCAAATGCTCAAGCTGCTGGATCTTACAACTATAATGCTCCCGTTCAACAACAGCAGCAACAACAACATTACTCTGCACCAGTTCAACAACAATCGTACTCTGCTCCTGCACCAGTACAACAACAGTCGTACTCTGCTCCTGCACCAGTACAACAACAACAACAATCATACTCTTCTCCAGCTCAATCTGAACGCTCTTATTTGCCTCCTGCACCACAACAACAGTATTCAGCTCCAGCTCCAGTACAGCAACAAAGCTACTCTGCTCCAGCTCCCAGCCCAGTTCAATCTTACTCTGCTCCCGCCCCAGCTCCAGTACAGCAACAAAGATACTCTGCTCCAGCTTCAGTGCAACAAAGCTATCTCCCTCCCGTGCAACAACAGCAATCATACTCTGCTCCAGCCCCAGTACCACAACAATCATACTCTGCTCCTGCCCCAGCTCCCCAACAAACCTACTCTGCTCCCGCTCAAGTACAACAAAGCTACTCTTCTGCCGGTCAAGTTCAAGAGCAATCTTTTGAAGTTAATGAGCAACAACAATCCTTCGGAGGTGTTGAATCAACTGGCGCCGTAGACAATGGTGCTTATAATTATCCTGCTCCTGGTCAACAAAGCTACTCAGCTCCTGCTCCCGCACCAGTTCAACAGAGCTACTCTGCTCCTGCCCCCGCACCTGTTCAACAACAATACTCTGCTCCTGCCCCAGCTCCTGTACAACAATCTTACTCTGCTGCAGTACAACAATCTCAATCAGCTGCTGTAGAAGGTGGATCTTATAGATACCAATCTGCTACTCCAGTACAATTATTCTCCGCTGCTGCCCCAGCTCCAGTGCAACAACAATACTCCGCTCCTGCCCCAGCTCCAGTACAACAACAATACTCTGCTCCTGCCCCAGCTCCTGTACAACAACAATACTCTGCTCCTGCCCCCAGCTCCAGTACAACAAAGCGTAGAAGTGGTTCTTATAACTATCAACCTGCTGCTCCAGTACAACAACAATACTCTGCCCTGCACCAGTACAACAACAATACTCTGCTCCTGCATCAGTACAACAAACTGTCAGCACTTCCTCCGCTGCTGTAGCAACAGGTTCATATAACTATCAAGCTCAAGGACAAGTACAGCAACAATCATACTCAGCTCCTGCCCCAGCTCCTGTACAACAACAATACTCTGCTCCTGTCCCGGCTCCAGTACAACAAAGCGTAGAAAGTGGTTCTTATAACTACCAACCTGCTGCTCAAGTACAACAATCCTACTCTGCTCCAGCTCCCGTACAACAATCCGTTTCTACATCCGCTGCTCCTCAAAATGTACAATACTCTGTACCTGCCCCACAAAAGATCAGTTTCCCCACATCGGCCCCGGCTCCAGCTGCCCCAGCACCAACCCCTGAAATTGGTACAGTCTATGGCAAGAATGGCGGTTATGTCTACCGTAAATTCTAATTGAAGAATTTCTATGAAATTCTTTTCAATTTGAAAAAGAAAGTTGTGATCACTAATAGAATTGCTGCGCCATGACACAATTCTAATCATTATTATTTTGTTTTATATTAGCATTTTTTTCGTGTTGTTATTACTTGTTTATAATTTGTTTTTCTCATTTAGGATAATTTTTTATAACGAACGCATTTAATTAAGTAGTTCCATTAATAAAAGAATTGTTTTTAATTTTTTTGTTTTAAAATTCGGCTTTGTTTTAATTGAAGATTGTCAAAGACAAAATTAGAAATATTTAATTGAAGGCGCTAAATGGTTATTAGATTGCATCATCGGATTCATTAATTTTCATATGAAATTAAAAGTTTGAAAGGCAAATTAATATATAGTTGTTCATACATAATTTTAACGCTTGGTTAAATTTGTTTAGTTTTGAGTCATGATAATTTTTAGCCTTAAGTTATGCTTTATAGTTTTTATACAAAAATATTGCGAATAGTTGTAGCAGTAGAAGAAGAGCAAGACTTTGTAGTAAGATATTTGTTTTTATAAAAGTTTTTGTGTATGATGAAAAAACTGCCGTTCAGCAATGATTTCCACTGATGTCAGATTTTGACAATTTATATTTTAACATTTTTTAAACAAAAATCTATAATTAAAATTCTTTGATCCGCAATCACCTTACTCACGAAATCTTTAACTAAAGAGACATCATTAATCCAAGATCGCCACCACTGTAAGGAGAAGTTGTTAGCCAATATTACATTGGTGATCCGATTTATCCTAGGTGTTATTAGCAATCCTTCGGTATGGAGTTGCTATAAACAGCTCTGGTCTGCTAGACTAAAATCTGGACTTGGCCTGTACAGGTTATAGTTGAGGTGCCTTTGGGGTGCTCGTGATGGCTGCGGTTGAAATTCAAATCGTGGGTCTGATATAAATATTTGTCTTTCGGTGCATATGTATTTCATGGCGATGAAGCTGCATAACCACGTGAAAGGACCACAGCAACTACTCCGACTTATAATCAGTTTTCTTTTCGAAACAATACAAAGGATTATCTTATACTTAGTCTCTTAAATCTAGTCCAGCAGCACTCCTCCCTATTTTGAACTCCTTCTCAAAGGAGATGTTACATTAGTGAACCGCTATTACCTTGGTGTTATTGCAATCCTTCGGTATAGAGTTGCTATCAATAGCTCTGGTCTGCGAGACCTAAAATCTGGACATGCCCTTTATATTTGTTATAATTGGAGTAACTTTGGGGTACGGTTGGCTGCAGTTGAAATTTAAATCGTGGAAATAGATGGTTAATTAAAGTTCTGATGTATGTAAATATTTGTATTTCGGGATGAGTCTTTCGGTACCGTTGTAATCTCAACATATTTCTGGGCGATGAAGCTACGCGACCACGTGGAAGGAATACACTGAATCGAATGGGTATATCCTCACCCTTCTGTTGTCAGGTAAACACCAATAATTGTCTATCATTCCGTGGAGGATCTTTATACAAGAAGTATGGATCAGTTATATGTAAGTGCGTTAAGTTTCGTAGAAACTTTCCTTTGAGTGCCCTAGACAGGTTATGCTGGTACTATAACGATGTCTTATGTTTTTGGAGAAGCCTCCTGTGTTGTTGCCACCTCAACAGTTGTCATAATGTGAATGATAGTCTACTGTCCACTGAGGTAATTACCATTTCCTATCAGGAATATCTACATTTCGTGGCGTAAAAATCTTTCTTGTCAAATTAAAGGGCCAGTTTAGCATGGTTTTATTTATGTAATCCATTTGGAGTGAGTTATTCGATATTACGAGTGATTAGCCATCGCATATTCTAGCGCACTCTTAACTGAAAACTATTATTGATTGCCTCTTCTTTTTTGGAGTATTCAGGTGTTCTTCTCATGTCGAGTTACTACAACATGATAATACACAGCTCGAGTACTTAAGCAAAGAGCTTGTTTATGATCCAGGAGAATCATATTCAAAAATAGCCACCTGTGTATATTTTGCAAGTCAATCGGGGGAGAGTGTTGAACTGTCTCTAGTCTATCTAACTTAGTATCTTTTGCAAGTCATTCGAGGGTGAGTGTTGGACAGTATACAATCACATTAAGCATGTGTTATAGAAATGTTTGGAAAATCCCAACAGCATCTTCTTATTTCCAATTAAATTATACTAGAATTAAATTAAAATCTAAACTATATTATTTATGCAATTAGATCGAAGTCCACCAGCGGTTTGTTAAAAACTTGTTTAGTATTACCTCTCACTACTTGGCGAGAGTGTTTAATACTACTTCATTTAATCAATAGAATGAGAAGTACTAAGACTTGACAAACAAAATTTGCTGCAATTTTTAAAATCTTAAAGACATTCATCAAAGTTTTTAAAACATTAAAATTTCCCATAAATACATACATTGTTTCTTTATACGTTTAAGTCTAAGAGATCTTAAAAAAATATTCTTATATCTAAGAAAACATATAACAACAAAATGGTTAATTTTTACACATAGAATTGAATATAATTTTAATAAATTAAACTAAACTGAATACTTAATATTTTAATGTGATAGAAAACTATTTTTAATAATTTGTTAAACATAAAAATAACAACATAAATTAAAAAATAAGCAATAAAAATGTTAAATAAATTTTTATAATGTACACCAACCAAAAATTAAATATTTTATGTGTCAAATAATATTTTGCATCTGTGAGTGGAAGTGAAAGATGAAATAAACATGTTGAGCATCTTAAAATTAAACACACTAAATAAATAATAACCAAATAACCCAACGAACAATTTAAAACCCATGTTATGGCAATAAGTCGAAACTTCAAAGTGCGAGATAATAAAAATCGATTGCCAAAATTCTGAACAAATGTCGCTGGGTTATTTAGTATTAATTGCAAAGCCAATAACTAAATTAAACAAATTATTTCCATCTTTTTTTTGATTTTAGGATTTTAACAAATTCCGGTTTCCGTTCAGATTGCTTGCAATTATAAATGCAAACTTAGCTTAAATAATATTTTTTTTATTTGTTTAGTAAACAATTTAAAAATAGAAGAAAAAGTTGTTATTGGATAGTGAAAGATTCGTATATTTGAGAACTTTAATGGAGCAAGTTATTGTCATATTTACATTTCTGTACACTAGACGCATCAATAAGTACAAAAACATATTTCTAACTAAAAAATTAGTATAAATATCCAAAGACTGGCAATTGTTAAATCAGTATCAGTAGTTTCATTCTAGAAAGCAATACTTCAGTTAGCCAAAATGGTTAGTGAAATACATACATAACAATGGGAAAATCTCTATTAGAAACTTCCCAAAAGGAACACTTCAATCAAAGCAAACTAAATTACTTTGATGGATTACTATTGGATTTTTCCAAAGCTTCCCTTTCATACGACTGGAATCATTCTTAATAATTATTTTTTTTTTCAATGTTACAGAAATTCTTCGCCGCTGTTTTGTTCGCCGTTGTTGCCTTGGCTGCCGCCGATGTCAGCCACTTGGATAGAACATACTTGCCACCTCATGGAGCTGCCAGCAGCACTCATGAAAAATACGAATCGGCTCCCTCAAGCTTCGGCTCCACCTCTGGTTCCTTCAAATCCGGCTCCAGCTTCTCTGCTCCTGAATCTGCTTCCTCCTTCACATCCAAGCAATACTCTGCTCCTGAGAGCTCCTCCAGCTTCAGCAGCCGTAGTGGATTCTCTTCCGACTCTAGCTCTTCCGACTCCAGCTCTTCCAAATCAGGCTCTAGCTTCTCTGCTCCAGAAAGTGCTGCTTCCTTTACCTCTTCCAAAAAGACTGAATACAAAGCTCCCGCTTCCAGCTCTTTCAAATCGGGCTCCAGCTTCTCGGCTCCTGATACCGCCTCTTCTTTCAATTCCTTCAAGACCACTGAATACAAAGCTCCTGCTTCCAGCTCCTTCAAATCTGGCTCCAGCTTCTCGGCTCCTGATACCGCCTCTTCTTTCAATTCCTTTAAGACCAGTGAATACAAAGCTCCCGCTGCCAGCTCCTTTAAATCTGACTCTAGCTACTCTGCTCCTGAAAGTGCTGCTTCCTTCTCTTCCTTCAAGACTACTGAATACAAGGCTCCCTCTTCCACCAGTTCCTTCAAATCTGGCTCCAGCTTCTCCGCCCCCAGAATCTGCTTCCTCTTTCACCTCCAAGCAATACTCTGCTCCAGACACCGCTGACAGTTTCAGCAGCCGTGGCAGCTTCTCTTCCGACTCCAGCTTCTCGGCTCCACAAACTGCTGCCTCTGGTATTGATACCAAATACGCTACTGATGGTGGTTATGTATACTAAATTTGAATATTAAAACAAAAACGAAAATAAAGCAATTTTTAAACATGTTTATAAAAGATATATAAATACATATTTTGTGCAGTTTTTTCTTTTACTCTGATATAGTTTTCAAATCAGTCGGAGTTGTCATAGCATCCAATCATTGTCGGAGTTGACTTTGAAAACGACAATAAGCATAAATACATTAGTTTAATGAAAAATAATGTTCTTGTTTTTCTGTTTGATGGATAATATTGGCCATTTTCATATTCAAACTTACATGAAAAAGCAAAAATCTCTTTAGAAAACAAGTGAAAATTATATTGTTTACCCCAAAAAATACTCAACATATGAATGACTAAGTAGAGAACATATTCACGAATTTATCGGAAAATGTTGTAACAGCCTTATTCATAAATAATAAAATAATTAAATGTAGTTGTACCAACGAAAAAAACTGGTCCTAATCTCCACAATTGAAAATAAAAATTGATGAAAAAAATTACTATTTCTAAAATAGTTCTATAAAAGTTGTAAATGTTATTATACCCTTCACCTTCGTGAGAAGGGCATAAGTATATATAAGTTTGTCATTCCGTTTGTAATTTCTATAGTATATATATATATAAGTTTGTGTAAGTATAAGTTTGTATAAGTAAGTATATATAAGTTTGTCATTATATATGTCATTGTATATACATATCCTGGATCCTTATAGATAGCGGAGTCGATTTAGCCATGTCCGTCTGTCTGTTTCTTTGTGTGTATGTTGAAATCAGTTTTCAGAAGACCCCAGATATCTGGGAAATCGGAAATACGATCGAATAGAACGCTGTTTAAAATCAGGATTAGGCGAGAACACAAGGGGACTATTTTGGTACTTTTTCGTTCTCCAAAAGGTACTTTTTGAATATTCTATAATATTGGAGCTAGAAACATGAAATTAAGTATGTAGACCCTGGATTAGACGAGAACACATTAAAGGGAACTTTTTGGTACTTTTCGTTATACAAATACTTTTTGAATTTTCTACTTTTACATGAAATTATGCATGTAGAGCCTTTATTAAGGGGACTTTTTGGTACCTTACCATTTTACAATTGGTATTTTTTGATTTTTTGTAATAAAATTCGTGCTGATTGTTTTTTAGCACATCATGGTGAAGTGTATATAAGATAGAACTCTAGTACCCTAGTATTCGATCTGATGGTAGCAAAATCAAAGAAAAATCATTGATAAATGAACTAGTTCCAGAACAGTTCAATAGAACGAGTGTTAACTCTTTAAAGCTTTAAAGGAACCCTTTTCGAAGGTAAGCAATAGCCTATTAATCTATCTTTGACGGTGAATATGAGTTATTATAGATTTTTGCTATTTACTCAATTGAAGCGCTATTTAAGAAGCAAGACCCTATTGGAGGTTTTCCATATAATTATGAGTGATCACAGATTTTTGATACTTACTCACTTAAAACACTTATAACGGTTATAAAGTCGATTTTAAGTTTTTCATATGATGGTCGATTTTGTATGACAAGTATGAGTGATCAAAGATTTTTAATATTTGCTCAATTATAGGTTTATTTAGGGACCTACATGCAATTATAGTGTTTTTGTATAAACATCGATTTTGCATTCAATGAAAGTAGAGAGGATATTTATTAGTATATTTATAAATAAAATACTTTAAACAAGATCTTTAATGCAGATATTATTTATGGTCCAATGTCAAACATGTTAGCAAATGTTTTTATTACAAATCAATAATTAAAACAAATAAAACTGTTTGTTAGCATTTTAAACAATTTTAGAAAAATTTGCATATTTTTTGATAGCAGAAAAAAATGTTTTTCACAAAAAATGAAAGTGTTTTAGAACTTTAATTAATAGCGGCAAGTTTTTATTTAATTAACCTAAATAAATAAGAATAATGCTAACTAGACGCATCAATAACTACAAAATATGTGTAGAATCACAAAAACCAATCGCTTTTGGTGATTTATTATCTAATTTTAAAATTAGAATGTTTTATTCTAAAAAAAGTTCGTATAAATACCCAGAGAATGACAATTATTAAATCAGTATCAGTAGTTTCAAACTAACAACCAATACTTTCCTTAACAAAAATGGTTAGTGGATTAAAAGAAGTAATGATTTTAAACATAAATATTTTTATTAAAAATTTTTCTTTTTTTATAGAAATTCTTCACCGCTGTTTTGTTCGCCGTTGTTGCCTTGGCAGCCGCCGATGTAAGCCATTTGGATAGATCATACTTGCCACCTCATGGAGCTGCCAGCAGCACTCATGAACATTACGAATCGGCTCCTTCTAGCTTTGGCTCTACTTCGGGTTCATTCAAATCTGGCTCTAGCTTCTCTGCTCCTGAATCTGCTTCAACTTTCACCTCTGAACAATACTCGGCACCTGATAGCTCCGCCAGCTTCAGCAGCCGTAGTGGTTTCTCTTCAGATTCCGGCTCCAGCTTCTCAGCTCCCGAAAGTGCTGCTTCATTTACCTCTTCCAAAAAAACCGAATACAAGGCACCTGTTTCCAACTCCATCGATTCTGACTTCAGCTACTCTGCCCCTGAAAGCGCAGCTTCTTCTTCCTCTTTCAAGACCACTGAATACAAAGCCCCCGCTTCTGGCTCCAGCTCCTTCAAATCCGGCTCTAGCTTCTCTGCTCCCGAAAGTGCTGCTTCCTTCACCTCTTCCAAGACCACTGAATACAAAGCTCCTGCTTCCAGCTCTTTCGAATCTAGTTCCAGCTACTCTGCCCCCGAGTCAGCAGCTTCTTTCTCTGCTCCATCTTACTCCGCCGACTCCAGCTTCTCAGCTCCACAAACTTCGGCCTCTGGTATCGATACTCAATACGCCGCTGATGGTGGTTATGTATATTAGATTTTAAATTTTATAAACGGAAATAAATGAATTTTTAAAAATTTTGTATAATTAAATAATTTGTATTTGTCCTGTACTGCAATTTTATACCAATATCGTTAAGCAGGGGAAAATCTAGTTTAAATCGCCGATATTTTCGTTAGTAAACCTTAACGAAAAATAAGTAAGAGAAACAGCAGACACTATACAAAATTATCTGTTCATGATGATATTAATCCATAAAAATCAACGGAACTCCCGAAATTTCCAAAAATTTTAATCCAAAATGCCAAAAATTTGTTTTTTTTTTTTTTAACAATTTTGCCCAAGGGTTCACATTTCCCTCAGTACTAGGAAAAAAATATTTTTTTTAAATATTCACGTATTTCATAGACAGTAAATAAGGGATTAAGTAGTAAAAAGTTAGGTCGACATCTCTCCCATATTGACGGTGCCTGATAATATCAGACTGATATCTGAAGACAAATTTCGGAGACTAATGTTTGTAAATTTCGGAAGCTGGAGAGAAGAGATAATAAAGAGCCATAGGTACAGCAACAAACCATTAAGTAAGCAAAACGAAAAAAAAAAGGGCTGAGGAAAGAGGGAAAACAGGAAGGCGGGGGCCGGGGAAGCAGGGAAACCAAAAGAGAGAAGGGAAGGAGGGGGAGGGGACGGCGAGGCAAAGACGAACGAACGAACGAACGAAAAACGAACGAACGAACGAACGAACGAAAGAACGAACAAGAACGAACGAACGAAAACGAACGAACGAACGAACGAACGAAGAAACGAAAGAACGAAAACGAACGAACGAGAACGAACGAAACGAACAAACGAACGAACGAACGAACGAACGAACGAACGAACGAACGAACGAACGAACGAACGAACGAAACGAACGAACGAACGAACGAACGAACGACGAACGAACGAACGAACGACCGAACGAACGAACGAACGAACGAAGAACGAACGAACTAACGAACGAACGAACGAACGAACGAACGAACGAACGAACGAACGAACGAACGAACGAACGAACGAAACGAACGAACGAAACGACGAACGAACGAACGAACGAACGACGAACGAACGAACGAACGAAACGAACGAACGAACACGAACGAACGAACGAACGAACGAACGAACGAACGAACGAAACGAACGAACGAACGAACGAACGAACGAACTGGAACGAACGAACGAACGAACGAACGAACGAACGAACGAACGAACGAACGAATCGAACGAACGAACGAACGAACGAACGAACGAACGAACGAACGAACGAACGAACGAACGAACGAACTAACGAACGAACGAACGAACGAAACAACGAACGAACGAACGAACGAACGAACGAACGAACGAACGAACGAACGATACGAACGAACGAACGAACGAACGAACGAACGAACGAACGAACGAACGAACGAACGAACGAACGAACGAACGAACGAACGAACGAAGAACGAACGAACGAACGAACGAACGAACGAACGAACGAACGAACGAACGAACGACGAACGAACGAACGAACGAACGAAACGAACGAACGAACGAAAGAACGAACGAACGAACGAACGAACGAACGAACGAACGAACGAACGAACGAAACGAACGAACGAACGAACGAACGAACGAACGAACGAACGAACGAACGAACGAACGAACGAACGAACGAACGAACGAACGAACGAACGAACGAACGAACGAACGAACGAACGAACGAACGAACGAACGAACGAAACGAACGAACTAACGAACGAACGAACGAACGAAACGAACGAACGAACGAAACGAAACGAACGAACGAACGAACGAACGAACGAAACGAAACGAACGAACGAAAGAACGAACGAACGAACGAACGAAACGAACGAACTGAACGAACGAACGAAACGAACGAACGAACGAACGAACGAACGAACGAACGAACTAACGAACGAACTAACGAACGAACGAACGAACTAACGAACGAACGAACGAACGAACGAACGTAACGAACGAAACGAACGAACGAAACGAACGAACTAACGAACGAACTAACGAATAACGAACAACGAACGAACGAACTAACGAAACGAACGAAAATAACTAACTAACGAACGAACTAACGAACTAACTAACTAACTAACTAACTAACTAACTAACTAACTAACTAACTAATAACTAACTAACTAACTAACTAACTAACTAACTAAACGTTCAAAACCCTCGTAAACTGTGCAACCTGTGCACGTTTCCATTCTTGCAATTGAATTCTATGACAATTGATTTGCACAACCCTTATAAGTTTGAGGCGACTATTTACACTGGCAAACTTGAGCAAACTCATTGTGCAAGTGAACAATAGTGAACAGATTTATTAGTTCACTATTGTTCACTTTTGAAATTATGGACTTGCATATTCACATTTTTAGCATATTTTGTACAAATTTTTGTTAAAATAATTTATTTTTTATTTTTTGATTTCGTTGGACATTGCTGTAAAATGTTTATAAATATTGTAATTGATCATTGTAATTGTGCCCACTTGCACAAATGGGAAACTTAAGCGTTTTAAATGAAAACCCTTATTAAAACTTTTATTTGTTATTTTATTTTTCCCGCATATTTAATGCACATAAAATAAGTTTTTTAAATAAAATTTTTTGGTTTCCCTGATAATAATACCAACAACAGTGTATTCTTTATCTTAAATATCTAACTTTTAACACAAATGCCATGCATGTATTAATTGCAAATTAATGACTTAATAGATGACATTCTTAATTATTTGATAAATTAATTAATTATTTTTTTTTTCGCAGAAGAAAAAGTTGTTGTCAATTTTTGGCACGAATATTTGAGAAGCTTAATGGATCAAGTTTTTTTGTTAAATTTACTTTCATTTAAATCAAAATAATTGATAATAGATGCCACATGTGCAATTACACAATCGAGAAAAACAATAAGTTATTAGGTGAATTTTTAATGCCAAAATTAGAAGGTTTTGCCATTATATAAATAAGAATTGATGAAACATGATAAAATCAGTATCAGTAGTATTATTCTAAGAAACAGTACTTCCATTAGTAAAAATGGTTAGTGAATTTTTAAAGATTGATATTGAAAAAGTGAAATTTATAAAATAGTTGTTATTAACAAAAATTTAATTATAATAATACAAATACTTAGTCTAATCGGACCTACAAAATTTGTATACAACAATTCCCTCAGCAAGTCATATTAGCATAAACAGCTAATTAATCCGTGCAAATTTTATTTTTATCTAAAACAGTAGCTTAATGTTTATTAAAATATCAATGCATAATTTATTTAATACTGAAATATTAATAAATATTTAACAAAAAATATTTAAATAAATATCAAGAGGTTTTATCGTTATATTATACAATATCGCAGTTAATTAATATGTATTTCTCTTTTTTCTCTTTATTATAGAAATTCTTCGTAGCTGTTTTGTTCGCCGTCGTTGCTTTAGCTGCCGCCGATGTAAGCCATTTGGATAGATCATATTTGCCACCTCATGGTGCTGCCAGCAGCACTCATGAACATTACGAATCGGCTCCTTCTAGCTTTGGTTCTTCTTCGGGTTCATTTAAATCTGGCTCTAGCTTCTCTGCTCCTGAATCTGCTTCTGATAGCTCTAGCAGTTTCAGCAGCCGTAGTGGTTTCTCTTCCGATTCCAGCTTCTCTGCTCCCGAAAGTGCTGCTTCCTTCACTTCTTCCAAAAAGTCCGAATACAAGGCACCTGTTTCCAACTCCATCGATTCTGACTTCAGCTACTCGGCCCCTGAAAGTGCTGCATCTACCTCCTCTTTCAAGACCACTGAATACAAAGCACCCGCTTCGGGTTCCTTCAAATCTGGCTCCAGCTCCTTCAAATCCGACTCTAGCTTCTCTGCTCCCGAAAGTGCTGCTTCTTTCACCTCTTCCAAGACTACTGACTACAAGTCACCCTCATCCAGTAGCTCCTTCAAATCTAGCTCCAGCTACTCTGCCCCTGAAACTGCTTCCTCTTTCACCTCCAAGCAATACTCTGCTCCCGACAGCTCTGACAGTTTCAGCAGCCGCAGTGGATTCTCCTCCGATTCCAGTTCTTTCAATTCCGGTTCCAGCTTCTCTGCTCCTGAATCAGCAGCTTCCCACTCTGCTCCCTCTTTCGCCGACTCCAGTTTCTCTGCTCCACACACTGCTGCCTCTGGTGTTGATACCCAATATGCTGCCGATGGTGGTTATGTTTACTAAACTTGAAAATCAAAAGTGACAATAAAACAATTTAAAAATATTGATACAAATAATTTATTTCTTTCATTTATTAAATATTTTTTGGAGATTAGTTAAAAATTCATAAACATTTTAATACCCAGCAAAACGTTGTTATACAAATAACTATATAGCAGTTTAAGTGATAACGAAGTTCTTCGATTCTTGTTTGTTTGCTCTTCATTCCAATGAGTGTTTAGAAACAATCAATGTTAGATGATGTGGTTCAAAATCAAAGTGAATCCATGTTTAGTAATGTTATGACGGAGAAATTAAACAGTTTTGAGTCAGATATTTTAATTAAAAGTTTTAAATGAAGTGTGACTCCTGAGTAAGCCAACTAGAAGGGAAATGTTTAAACATGTATTTAAATAGTCTCGAGGCTTGAAAAAATAGATTTAAGAAATAGTTTAACTTTTTTACCTTGAGTATATAAAGTTTTAAAACATGTAGTTCCATTATCAGTATCCCTCCTCAGATCTTCATGAATTAGGTTCAATTCGATTCTCTTTAGTTAGATTGTGTAACGGTTGTGTAATATTCCTATGACAAATTTCTAATTGTATTGGAAAACTATTGGGTCCATTATAAATATGTATTTCCATATATTGCAAAAGGAAATAAAACAAAGCATACACATGTAGATGCAGGAACGGAAGAACTAAACAATTTACAAGGGTTCTAGTGAAGCCATCATTTGCAACATTGCCCCATTCTTTCCAAAGGATTTGCTTACCCTCTAAAACATACTTTTTAAACCCCAAACTTCTGATAACTGGTTGCTGGGTTTTAATTTAAAAATTCCATTTTAAATATAAACAAAATTATTTTGCAGTTTTTAATAATTTTTGCCGAAATTAAACAAATTCCGGTTTCCGTTCAGATTGATTGCAATTATATATGCAAACATAACATAAACAAAATATTTTATTATTTTTGTTGGTAAACGAAAAAAATTAACATATTTTAGTTTAACTAGAAGAAAAAGTTGTTATCTTAGATTTGCCCAGTTAGCAAAAGAAAGATTCCAATGTCTGAGAACTTTAATAGAGCAAGTTTTAACCAAAATACTAAAATAAACACTAGACGCATCTAAAAAGTGCAAAATAGACAACAAGAAAATTAGAATATCTATTTCTAATTCATGTTCTAAACAAAATTAGTATAAATATCAAGTGTATGACAATTATTAAATCAGTATCAGTAGTTTCATTCTTGAAAGCAATACTTCTACAAAAATGGTTAGTTAGTGATTTTAAGAAATATTAAAGGATTTAAAAAAAAATCATTAAAAGTGTTTAACGAAATTATGTTTCATTAAAAATTAAGTACCATCAAAAAAAATTTAACTATATGTTTAATACAAATGGAACTTTGTGACGTAATCCAAAATCTAGAAAAAAATTTGCAATATTCGAAATTACTAAAATATAGTGTTCTAAAAATAACAAATTAAAATAGCTGAAAAAAGTCTATGGTTCCTCTAAAATTCATCAAATTTAGGCAATTACTAACATTCTTTAATTTTCATCCTCTCTCTTATAGAAATTCTTCACCGCTGTTTTGTTCGCTGTCGTTGCCTTGGCTGCCGCCGATGTCAGCCACTTGGACAGAACATACTTGCCACCCCATGGTGCAGCCAGCAGCTCACATGAACATTATGCTTCGGCTCCTGCCTCCAGCAGTGGTTCTTTCAAATCTGGCTCCAGCTTCTCTGCTCCTGAATCTGCTTCCACCTTCACCTCTCAACAATACTCTGCACCTGCTGCCTCTTCTAGTTTCAGCAGCCGCAGTGGATTCTCTTCAGATTCCGGCTCCAGCTACTCTGCTCCCGAAAGCGCTGCCTCTACTTTCAAGACTACTGAATACCAAGCTCCCGCTTCCGGCAGCTCTGGCTCTTTCAAATCGGATTCCAGCTACTCTGCTCCCGAAAGTGCTGCTTCTTTCTCATCCTTCAAAACTACTGAATACCAAGCTCCCGCTTCTACCAGCTCTGGCACTTTCAAATCTGATTCCAGCTACTCTGCCCCAGAAGCTTCATCCTCATTCGCTTCCAACCAATACTCTGCCCCTGACACCTCTGCCAGTTTCAGCAGCCGCAGTGGATTCTCTTCCGATTCTGATTCTAGCTACTCTGCTCCTGAAAGTGCTGCTTCTTTCTCTTCCTTCAAGACTACTGAATACAAAGCTCCCGCCGCCAGCAGCTCTTACAAATCTAGCTCCAGCTTCTCGGCTCCCATAGGTGCTGCTTCTTTTGTCGCTCCTGAAAGCACTAGCTACACTGCTGATTCTAGCTACTCAGCCCCTGAAGCTGCTTCCACTTTCACTTCCCAGCAATACTCTGCTCCCGATAGCTCTGCTAGTTTCAGCAGCCGTGGTAGCTTCTCTTCTGACTCCAGCTCTGGTTCCAGCTACTCTGCTCCTGAAGCTGCTGCTTCCTACTCAGCTCCCTCTTACTCTACCTCCTACACCGACTCCAGCTACTCTGCTCCACAAGCTGCTGCCTCTGGTGTTGATACCCAATACGCCGCTGATGGTGGTTATGTATACTAAACCTTAAACAAGAGACTATTTCTTTTAAATCCCCTTTAAAGACCAAAAAAACAACAACAAATAAAAAATCTAAAAAAATTTTAACAGTTCCGGCTTTTTTCTCAATTATTTATTTTATTCTCTTCCGATTCATTTGTTTTAGCTAAATACAAAATATTATTCTTTTTCAAAATTCGACTATTAACACCTTCCAGATTTTTAACTCTTATCGATTTTGAGGCCACCACTTCCCAAGGTTTTATATAGTTATTAGAGGGTATGTGTGGATGAGGATAATCGGTGATGAAATGATATATCAAGGGTATGCCACTATTTTCTCTCAACACTAAATCCGAAGTACGAACATAAACTTTTTCTGCCTTTGTAGGGTTAATTTCATTTGACATGGGTGTTGTACTGGCCAGTGTTGAGGCGGGTAGACTAATGAGCCATAGTAATACAATTTTAATTAATAACATGTGAAGCAATTCACCCATATTCTGTAAATATTTAAAAGTTACTTTGTTTATATATTTTTTAAGTTTATATTATTACAGAAATTTACCTTTTTAGTTTAACTTTACTTTATATTGCAAAATATGAAACTACACTAAATAGGCTCAATGTAAGTCTACTTTCTTTTATACCAACTGATATAATGATTAAACAAAATTTTACAGACTATTGACTTTGATACTGTGGTATACCCTACAGGGAAAAGTTTGAACTATTTGGTTATGTGGTTTAGTGGTTAATCAAACTTTAACTTATATGTGTGTTCCCGAAATTATTTCCAATTATTACAAATCTGCTCATTTGCTTTCACGATCGAGGTATATTCGGCCTTAGTTTACTTAAATCTTTTTTTAAGCAACATGCCTTTTCAAATTAATTAATTAGAAGTGTATTAAGTGGTCGGTTTAATGTTCGTTACGTGTCGTAAATGAAAACGCACACAAAAGTTGACTTGTTTTATTTAAAGAAAGTGACAAAATATTTAAGATACAATTTATGGATGCACTTTCATTGAGTATCAGTAACATTAAATTCATGTATTCCCACTAAATTACTACCATGCACAGTGGTTTGAATTGCTTAACATGTTAACGTTTAGATTAGTTATAGATTATGTAATTGAAAATATTTTGGCCGTCAAATCGTGGTGATGTGATCCAGTAAATATGGAATTTCTTAAAGGTTATTTCTGGATTAATAAAACATATTCCAGACTATTTGAAAATACCAATTTATAGTTAATCTGGAGTTTACGAAGACTAGAATCTTGAAGCTGACAAATTGGACTTTCAGGCGACATAATAATAGATTTTATAACGTTTCAAATATCACCAAAAACGGTGGTTTTCCAAATTTTAGGTCACGATATATCCAATATGCGATGTGATGGAGAAATTTTGGCCTCTAGGTTTCAACAAAAGTAACTATTTAACGTTTAGTTGGCCTGTATTATTAAATTGAGTTTCGGAAAGTTCTTATGTGGACTTTTGGTCAATATAAACTCTTTCAATTTTTAGTGACTGTTTAAAGTTGCTCCAATTTTAGTTGGGAAGTATTCATTTATGAGTTAAAAATTCCAAATTCAGGGGGCCTTAGTGCCGGTTCACATAGGGAAACTCTTTTTGGGAACGTTTTGATTTTGTGTGTGAGAGTAAGAGAAAGAAATATCAAAGATTTCATTCCCTCACAAACAAAAACCAAAAGTTTACCAAAACAAGTTTCCCTCTGTGAACCGGCACTTACTGTACATGTTATAGATGTAGCAGTGCGCTGATTTCAACCAGTTTCAATGGATTGTGACCTATAGTTTGATAACAGCATTTCTATAGACACACAGACTGTCGGTCTGTATTATGTATACTCTATCTCCAAAGCATGTTTCCAGCTTCGATTCCCCCCTCTGGTACCTTCTAAGCTGGCTCCTGAATATACTTTCTCTTCCCCCTCCAAGCAATACTTTGATCCTGAAAGTTTATTCTCCTTCAGCAGCTGCAATGTACTTATTATGCCTCTAACTTTTCTATGCCAACTCTTTTAAGTTTGGGTTTAGTACTCTGCCCTTAAAGCTTCATTCATCATTAATACCAGTCAGTACTTTGTTTCTATTTCCAACACCTCTGCTAGTTCTCTTCTCCCAAAAATACTTCAGCTTTGACTCTTTACAATGCTTCTCAATACTACACTTCACATCACAGCTCTTTAAAAAGTTGCCTTACTGTAAGTTCAATTTCTCCTATCCAGAATATTCAATAGTCATTCGTTTCCTTAAAGCTTTAAGCTTATAGGTTAGGTTAATTATGTTACACTAATTATTCCTACGGTCTGGTTTACAACGATTTCAAGCCATTTCGTTGCCTTTATTAAGGCGTGGTTATTGACTAAATCTCATTCTGATAAAGAAGTGTTAATAGTATTCTGTAAACGAACTCTTTTCGCGTTCAATTTCTGAGAAATTGCATGTTCCCTTTATTTTCTCGTCACCAGTTCCATGAAAATCAGTATACGATGCTTTCAAGCCATTTCGTTGTCTTAATAAATCTAACTAAAGAACTTTTTTCGTCTTCTTTCTGATAGAGAAATGCTGATAATATTCTGTGAACGAAGTCTTTCTGTCTTCAAATTCAGAAAAATGGCATGTTCCAGTTATTTTCACGTCACCGGTTCCACAAAAATCATTATAGGGTAGTTTAAACCTTTTAGCAAGTTTACCAATAGATCAATGATCAGTGAGGTTTTTAAGGTGGAATACAGGCATGCTTAACGCAAATCGTGTTCTCCTCTATATCCATCCATGTTAAGTTAAATCTGCGCAGACCACACTTTTCCTCTTCTTCGCAGTATTTCTAGAAGTTGAGAAGAATACCAATGCCGTCGGCAACCTCTTCACTTCAGCCAGTGATTTTATATCATCGAAAAGAAAGTCTAGATCTTCGCGGGATTGGGCTAATTGCCTTAAAGGTCCATTAAAATAGAATAGGAACATTTGTACTAGAGTTTTGCTTAGCTATTCTAGTTGATTAAAATTTTCTCAAGATAATGTGATGTTACGATTTGTGAAATAACTACCTACTCAAATGAAATAAATTTTAGTTTTTATAAAAAAGTTTTTTTCTTTCAACAAATTTCAATAATCCAAAAACATAAAACTATTGTTCGCTTCAGAGCAAGTATTAAAGCTTTTTTAGAGGACAAATAAAAGTTGGTTGCCTCACAAACAAGTCCATAAATGGAAAATTTTTTCCATCACTCCACATACCATGTCTGGCCATACAACATTTATGAATTACTTAAAAACGGGACGTTTGTTTAGGGGACTAGATGATGTCAATAAACTTAATATATCTGTATATTTTCAAGTTTTAAGTTCAACCAAATTTGCAAATAATGATTAAGTTTTAAAAATTTGTATTCGATTAGAACTAACTATGTTAAAACTTCATAGTTAGTTATATACGGAACTATAACTTATATTCAGAATGTTGGTTTTTCTTTAAATGTATAATTAAGATATTGTATTCAAATCCTACACCTACAATGTACTATAACGTGAGAATTATTGTCTCAAATCCCCACCACCTTACAACCCACTGTTCTGTGGCTGTAAATGCAAATTTTCGCTAAATGCTCTTTCTTACCTGCTGTTTGTTGACTTCATCTGTTGCAAAAAAAACTGCACACTCAGATACACAGACGCAATCTGAAGCGCAGAAAAAATAAACATTTTAATCGACAAAAGCCAAAATTCAACAAAGATAAAACTTCCACAGAAAACAAAAACAAATTAAGTAGCTTATTATTGTGGCCTCATTTTGAATATTTGCTTTTCTGCAATACATATGAATATTATATATTTTTTTACATTAAAGCCAAAAAAAAATCAAAAGTAAGAATTATTTAAGATGAAATATATGCAGAATCAATTTGTTTTGTCTTCGTCTTTACCAAAAAAAAAAAAATTAACAAAATTTTCTGAAATAAAAATTAAGGTGTGCAACAAAAAAACAACATCTTATTGAAAAATTGTAAGTAAGAGTGTTGTATGCGATTGTGAGGAACCGCTATATGAAGCGCTAATGCAGGGTCTGTTTAATTTTTTTTATTCAACACTTTTTCTAGACCTTAGTCTCTCCACATACCACACTCTAGCTTCCTGCTATTTCTTATGCTCCCTCGCTATAGGTTAGGTTAGGCTACGTAGGTTGCTCGCTTGTTAGCGAGTTCATTTGGAGGCCTTGTGGCCCATTGTGATACCATTAGAATTCACATTCCCTTATGTTTAGAGAATAGTTTCTCTCCCTAATTTCATTGATTACGCAGTTCTTGCGGTCTTTGTAAAAACCAGCCGGTGTTTCTAATAAAGCCTATAATGTTTACTAGTGACGCATCTCTAAGACAGTGCAGATCGTGGATAAGAGCTCTACCAAGATAGAGTAGTCTGTGCTCTTGTAAGGCTGGGCAGTCACGTATAAGGTCTTGTACCAATTCCACTTCTTCTTCGCCCAAACAGATTCTTCAGTAGTTATAACGTGGGTACCCCATACGTTCCTACCTATGTCTCGATATTCTACAATTGGTGATATTTGACCACCTGAGTTCCGTCACACTCAAAGCCCAGTCATCTATCAATTTTGATAGGGTCACCAGGGGAGTGTAAATATCTTTTGCGCAAGGGTTAAATCTAGGGACGACCCTTTGGTTGCGCATTCATCAGATATTTCATTTCCCCGGATGCCCCCATGTCCTAGAACCCATATCGACTCAACGTGATGTTGTGTCAGTTGAGCCAATGATTAAATACAACTGATTGATGCATGGCCGTGCAAGTATATATGTATGGTCGAATTTTCGAAATTTAATTCCCAGATTCTGTCTTTGAGCCATCAGTATAGATTGAGATTACGTCGTCGCTTACGACAGTGTTCACAGCCCAATCATCCTTGTCTGTATTCCGGTCTTGAATGACCACATTTGTTTCTTTAGAGCTTCAAGTTTACAGATTAATGGACACTACGACACTTTTTACAAGTCCATGGACATGTGACATCGAACATACACTAAATTTACGAGCAGTTCTCTCCAGGATAAGAGTGCCTCCTTTTTAAATAATAAACAAATTTTCCAATACATTTATGTTTTAAAAGTGTCACAAAATCCATGGATATTATGACACTTTTGAAAGTGGAGGTTATGTCCATGTACACTATGATTCTTTTTGGTACGATATAACATCCATGGACATTATGACACGTCACCTTCCAATCCATTTCTTATTTAAAAGTGTCACAATCACCATGTACATTATGACACGTTTGAGTGTTTCATAACATCAATGTATACCATTACACTCATTACTGTGTCATAACGTCCATGACGTCTGTATTAAAAGTATGTATTTCAGGGTCCATGGACATGATGACACTTTTTAAAGTATCAAACACAATGACAAATTTAATATACCTCCCATGAAGTCTATTATAAACAGCAGACAGTCAGATACCAACCAACACCACACCAGATCATGTACTATTAAGATATTTCCAAGTGATAACTTGTTAATGATCAAGTTGGTGACGGAGAGGATGTTGATATAT